CTGCTAGCAGTCCTGTTCTTTGATAGCACTGTCTAAAAAACTAGCTTTTAGTGGACAATATTTAAAGAAATAGGAAATACCAATATGAAATTCCTTCAATTCAAATTATTCTAGAACAGAATATGTTCTCTCCTTTACACAAGACAATGAAGTTGACAAACACAATTTGAAGGTTTCATGCACACTATATTGCTCAGTTCTATATGTGTATATTTACATGTTCTAAAATTAAGTTGACTCCAGAAAGAGATTTTTCCCACCCAGTGGCCACATCTAGGTTTTGAAATACCCTGCCTATGGAAAATCACTTAGCACTTACCAGTAGTCATTCTCAGCTTCAGTGTGAACATTTTGAGGAATGCCTTTCACTGTTAGTGATTTGAGTGAACAAAGTTGATGGATTTTACTGCTGTTCTTTCTGGCGTTGCCTTTGTATTCTCTGTTAAGCATAACGTAGTACATTTTTATTTTATTTAGAACTGTGTATTTCATTTTTCTTTGTTAATTAGAAAGACAGGATATAAATATTTTAAATAAATAATCTCATTATCTCCCATTACTTAGCAGTTAAATTATAGCTCTGTGAAATATTCAGGGGTAAGGCCACCTGCAGCTGATTAAGATGATTGAGGAAGAGTATTGAAGAAATTACTTTCCAAATAGTTTTTGTTTCTTCATAAGATTTTAATTTTGATTAAATTTTATAATAAATCTGTATTTTAAAGTAGTAATGACAGTGATGATATGCAGTATTAAAAGGTATAACTATTAAGGATTTTCATACTTAAACATTTGTTTTCTGGCATTACAGATGGTCAGAATGACAAATAAGAAAAGACAACGTTTGATAGAAATTAAAGAAGACCTACGTAGGTATGTTGTGGGTAACCTTGCAATTAAGTTTTTGATTCAATTATCACTGAATCCTAAAATCCCATTTTATACCAATCCAGTGATAGGCTTATTTTTCCTTACCCTAGCAAGGATTTCAGCACTAAACTTTTGATCAAAATATTGACCTAAAGCTCCAGCTGACTTTGGTATTTATCTCAGATGTCCCATAGCAACTATGCCACATGAAATCATGTTCCAGATATGATCTGAAAGCTGTAGCTGCAGATTTATGAACATGGTAAAGATTTTTTCAAAACTAAAAGAGGAGCGTTAATTAAATTCCAGATGCTTCCTCCAGATAGGTTTCAAACAGTATAATCAGCTTCTCTCATCTGGCAAGATTCATTCCTTTCTGTTGCAATATTATTTCTAGATTTATTTCCATTATTTTGCAAGTATGAAAACATTGACAATATTCATGTAAGAAAATACTGGTTTGCCTTATTAACCTGCTTTTTGAAATAGGTAACTGGTTGGCATCTATGGACCTCCTATTAGGTCTATGCAGCATTTTTCCTGTTGACTTTAGAAATCAGATTGATCCCTTCTCCCCTTGTGACCACAATTCCACAGCCAGCAGAATTCCAAAGCCAGAATTCTGGGAGTTAAAGTCCACACATCTTGAAATTGCCAAGATTGAGAAACACTGACTTAGATTATCACTTGAATGATAATCATCATAACCTTCCTAAATGCATATAAAAGTAAAACAAGCTTGTGCTGCGAACAATTGCGCTACCTGGGATTTTGACTGGATGAAAGACAAAACTGAAGAGACATGAACAATTAAACCTTACATTGGTGCAATGGCAGTTCACATATCTCCTTTATTTTCATCAGGGCTGAACCAAATTCAGATTACCCTCTTGCTCTGTGATAGCGTAGATTATAACTCTTGCTCCTGTAGATTCAGTTATGTAAACAGTCTTCTGTGGAATAAAAGGAAAACTTACCAAAACATGATGCTCAGACATTTATTTTTGCTAGAACTGAACCAGAACTGATGAAGCTAAAGAAAGAATACAGCAAACTAAAAGAAAAAATATCCTGTCTCAGGAATGCAGTTCAGTTTATCAAAGACTTAAAGAGTCTTCAGCAAATGGATGATGAAAGGGAAAACCCGCAAGAAAAACTAGTAGTAAGTACCTATTTAATGGCTTAACACTCTGTAGCTGTTAATTGCTCTTTAATCAGGTTATTGCAATTAAAAAGAAGTTACATTTTAGATTGTGATTTTGTTCCAGAAATGCTTAGAAGAATCACAGCTGTAGCTACCACTTCTTATCCTTCAAATACTAATCTCTGCATGTTTGAGATAACGCAAATAACATAATTGTTCGGTTGCTAGGAGATGCAGTTATATTTTTCCCAGGTATTTTGGATGTACTGCAACATAGAAACCTATTTGAGTGAAGAAAGATGATAGACAAATACCACATTTCTCCTTCCCTGGCCTCATGCATATAACATAGCCCAATCTTCAGGTATCTTTTTAAGTACAGGTAGTCCTCAGCTTACATCCATTCATTTAGTGACCATTCAAAGTTACAGCGGCGCTGAAAAAATGGACTTATGACCAGTCCTCAAAGTTCTGGCCATCATAGTGTCCCTTAGGTGTCCAGTTCATAATTACGCCATTACAGCAAGCCACATCACATGATCGCCATTTGCGACCCTCCTTGCCAGCTTCCCATAAGCAAAGTCAATGGGGAAGCTGGCAGAGAAGGTTGTAAGTCACCTTAGTAAGTTGCTCCCACCACTTTTTCTCCCTAAGACGAGGGATCTCATACTCTGTAGCACCCCCCCACTTGCACTCTGTAGCATACACCTGCCCGCATCTCCTGTGGCATCCACCAATCCTGCAGCCCCCACCAACTCACCTGGGCTCCCTAGCACCAACCTGTAGCAATCCCCCATTGCACCCACACACCCTCTTGTGCTCCTTACCTGGGACTCCCACCTCTTCCTGCTTAACAACCCGCGCGTCCTGGGGTTACAATGGCTGCCAGGATTTCCGTCACTAAGCAATGCAGTCAAGTGACGTCGCACTTTATGACCACACCGCTTAGTGACTGCAGTCCTGGTCCCAATTGCCATCATAACCCGAAAACCACCTGTATCTGAAAAATGGCCTCTTCGAATGTAGGTGGGTGCACATTTCAGTATTCGGTATTGAAATGTATATGCTGCTTTATAAAATCCATGCAGAATTATTCTCAAAGCAACATTTATTTTCATATAATCACCTGTTATATATAATAATACGGCTGACAGTATCCTTATCGGAATATATAGCAGTTGGTATACCCACATTTGTTGTGGAAAAGCAAGTGGCATATTGATGATTTTTGTGATTAGCTTTTAAGCTTTATTGGTCTGCTGAATAAATTGAACATTCTTCATCTCATTTCATTTCAGTAAAATAATGCTTTCATAGATGAAGTGTAGTAACTCATTATTTCTGATGTGTAAATCTCATTTTATGTTAGTTCAAGATTCCTTAAAAATGGTGGCTGAGGAATTACTTTAAACACTCTGAACAGCTACTTAACTTAGCCAGAAACCCCAGCTTAGGCAAATAGGGGTGAGTTATACAGACATGCGGAATGTTGATATATCCAACAACATGTACAAGTATAAACAAGGCAGATAATTTTTATTAAAACTATATTAATAAAGTGTTAAGCTCTGTGCAGGACAATACTTATATTCTCTTGAAACTAAAGACACGCAGACAACAAGCCTTGTAATGGCTCCAGAGTTTCCAGACTCAAGGATACTTGGATACTGAATTAAAAAATAAATAAAAACATTATTATTATCTGAATAAAATATAGTCTTGTGATTTTGGTAAGGCTTGCCCTTCCAGACATGCAGAGACTGGAAAAAATAACATGTCATAGATGGTCCACAAGCACAATCAGGATATGAGCCTTCACCACAAAAATCACATGGACGTTAATCATCAGTCCATATATCTTGACAATTACACGTTCACAGAAAATGGAAATGTGTGTGTGTGCGCCTTCAAGTCAATCTTGACTTGTGGCAACTGCCTGGACAAGTCCATGCAGTTTTCTTAGCAACATTTTTGGAAGTGGTTTGCCATTGCCTCCTTCCTAGGGCTGAGTGTGTGTGACTGGCTCAAGATCACCCAGCTGGCTTTGTGCCTAAAGTGGGACTAAAACTCACGGTCTCCCAGTTTCTAGCTTGGTGCCTTAATCACTAGACCAAACTAGTGGTTGGTGCCTTAATCACTAGACTCTTTAAATCCAGATCCAAATGTCCCCAAAGGAACAGAGGAGATAGATAATGCAAACTACAGAGAATGAAAATAGGAGAGTAAAAGGCAGAGAACAAGGAAGAAATGACCACTAAGGAGAATAGGACCAGAGGCCTAGAAGGACCTAATAGAATTGATGGCATTGAGGTGGTAGAAAGAGCATATGCAAAGAAGGATTGTAGAGCTCATTGCAAGAGTTTGACTTGCAATGGGAAGGGCTAAAGGCAAGGCAAAGTGAATGTAGTCATGCTCTTCAGAAAGCAAGTAATAAATTAGGCCCTAACACTAGGGATTTCTAACATAGGGTTAATATTTTACAAATTTTTAAACTATGCCTTGTTCTTTTCTTCTACTCCATAGTATGGTATTTCCAGCCTTCCTGCACTTCTGATGGATTCACGAAGAATTTTAAGAGCAGAAAATCACTTTCAAAATATCAATACAAAATTACAGGGAAGTTTGGGATTGCAAGAAAACAACTAGGTATTCATAATACAAATTACATTCTATATTACCAGATGTAAGTGTATTGAAATATAAAGTAGAAGCTGAAATTGGAAAATTGGAAATAGTTGTTGTTTTTTCAGGGACCTAAACTTCATAAATTCCTTTTGGTGTTTTATTGGTATATTTAGATATGACTAACTTAACAATAAAAATCTTTTGTTTGGCAAAAAAGAAATAATGAGGCAATAAAACAGATCACTGAATCAGAAATACAGTATTTTAGTTGGTTTACTTTGTGTGTGAAAGAAAGTAACCTTTGACCTATTCTTTCATGAAAGAAGATTGGCGGGGAATCTCTCCAGCAGAGAAATAATCTTGCTATCGTTTAGTTACTTGCAGAAAGGTTTCATCTGGCAAGGCACATGTAGCTGCATGTTGAGTACGTATCCTGCTTTCCAAGAAAGAAGAAATAAGTTGACTTCAAAGAAAAAAAACTATCTCAGAAAGCAGGCTACTAGTTGCCGGTTCTAAATATATCACATTACTATTTACATATTTGCATTACCATTTACATAGCACATTACACTTTCTGAAAAAAAATATTTTTATTACAAGTTATTACAAAAATAAAAAGTAATGATGTATACTTTAGTTAAACATTTATTGAAGGCCTTCATATGAAGAAGAAAGGTGAAGCAAAAATGATAGGACAGGATTTTCTGAATTGTCTTTGTAAATGTTTATCTTACCACTTTAAAATTGTGTGAATAATATATCAAACTAGTACATTCTACTTTCGTTCTGGTGAGAGAAACCTTATTTAAAGTGATGAATATTTTAGTATTTTATTGTACAAAACTATTTTTAGAATTAAAAAGGATGCTATTTTTATAACTGGCTTCTGTCAATTCAATAAAATCCTTATTTGTGAAACCGTAAAATTTACTTTTCTAACATCTAGTTGCTTCTGAACTCTAGTTGTCTTCATTCTTCATCAACCATAGTAAACATACAAAATTTATCTTACAGGTAATACTGCAGTGGTTTTAGGAAAATATTGAGTTAATTTTTTTGAGTGGGTTTTCAGTACTGCCAAATGTATCTGGCTGATGAGATATTTAATTCATCCACAAGATTTTTCTAACATTCCTTCACTTCTTTTCCTTCATAGTTTCTTAAAACACCTGCTAGGAGCTCATCAGGTAATTCATCTGCAGTACAGTTCTTCTGTGTATGAAAAGTATCAATAGCTTCAACTAATTCCACATCTTCAGAAGCTTCCAAAAGGCAGGTGTCAAGCTCGTCATCCCATTCAACATTTGAACTTTTCTTGTTTAGCTTGCTATTTTCTTGCACTGAAGCAACAGGTATTCTGTCCAGTAAGCCTGTAGCATCAACTGTGTTTGCCCTTTCTTCAGTGTTCCTATTTTCATCCACTATATATACATAATCTTCATCCTTTTAAGAGCAAACATTAACATTTACAGTTTTAGATTATATTTTTCTTGTGTGGTTCTTGTATAGCATACCAATTACATATTGACTGAACCTGCCCCCCTGAAGTTCCAGTCCTATCTGATCAACAAAACAGAGCTGGGAGCTTATCTACTATTTGGATAGGTGGTGGGGAATATGGGAAGGAAACATACTGACTGGGGAATTCTGGGAGTTGACATCCACACATCTTAAAGCTGCCAGGGTTGAGAAACTCTTAGGTTCAGCCCAAGAAACTCCACGAGATGGTTCTGAATTTGCTTAGTTACTTTATTAGCTTACACCTGCTAGACAGAATCTCACCAGACTAACTCTA